CAAATTGTTTATTTTTTTTTCTTTTTATTATTCTCTTTAAATAAAAGATAGTCCACTCGATACTTGTAACTTTAAAGTTTGCTAAAGCTTGATAGTTTTTAGTAAATTTTATCACAATACCTGCTGCCTAATTTCGCAAGTATATAATACCTTTTTTTTTTTATATGTTTTAATTTTTTTTTGAACTATAATATTGAAATATAATTCAATAAATCAATATACTAAAATTTTCAAGTGTAACAATAATAATTGCATAGTATAACGATAGATTTTTTTCTTTTTAGCTAGCTTTACATGTTCTCTTTTTTTTTCTTTAACAGTTAAGTTATGAATATACAGAGCTTTTTACTATGAAACTATAGGAAGCAAAGCTAACCCACACTAGATACATAACAACCTATGAGCTTTAAAACCTTATTACATATTTTACATGTCTACTAGCTCTCGAACCTTATAGGAATTTCTTTTAAAACTATACGACTCAGCTTTTTTTACTTACTTACTTCTTTTGTTATACTCTAGACTTCTTTAAATTTCTACTACAAGGTTCAACAAAATTAAATCAACCACTAACAATAAAATAACCCCACCATATATCGTAATATTTTATTTTCACTGAATGTTGATCCTCTTTTTTTACATATCATTAGTATATATTTATTTAATACTATTTTTTTTAGACTTCACCAGAAAACAGAAATTTTATCTTTTTACTTTAAGTTTTACATTATACTTTTTAATTCTTATCTCTTTTTATTTTTACTATATTAATATTTATTTTTTTTTTACTTTGAATAATTTTTTCATCATTAGATTACTCTAAGCTAGAACCTTAAGTTTTTTATCTTTATCATCGATGTTCTTCAATACATGCTTTTGTAATTGAAATTGTAGCACTAGAACTTATCTCTTTCTTATTTTTTTATTTTGCTTTCTTTTTTTTAAAAAAATTTTTACTGATTTTTTTTTCATTTTCCTACTTTTTTCTTTATTAGATTCATCCTCTTTAAAATCTTCTTTTCACAATAATTAGTATTTTTATTATCAATTTTCTTCAATCAGTCCTTTTGTACTTGGAGTAGTCCCGCTGATAAGCTTTCTTATTATGATATTTTATTGTTATCTTTTTTTTTATTGAAAATTTTACTTACTTTCTTTTTCTTTCCCTTCATTAAGTTTGTTACCACTAAAATCTTCTTTATCTATATAATTCCTTATCTTTCTCATAAGTTTTCTATTAGCGTTACTTTTATAGTTAGAATTATTGCACTATGACTTTTCTTATTCCACTCTTTTATTATTGCTTTTTTTTTTAATATCCAAATTATTCTTCTTTTCTTTCATTATTTCATTCATATTTAGATCTCTACTAGAACACTTTTCAAACCTTTTCTTATAACTATGTTTTCATAATTAGAATTGTCATACTCAAATCTTAAATTAACCTTTTTGATTATTCTCTTTTTTTATTATATCTTTTCTATTTTTTTTTTTTTTTTCTATTACTATTTCCTTCAACTTTTTTGATTACACTGCATTCTCTTTTACTATAATTCCAATTCTCAGCTAAATAAATTATTGTAATTATGTGTAATAATTATGTAAATTAATTTTTATTTACCAGTATACAATTTCTTATATTTACATTAGCCACTATATAAATTTCTAGATTAAATACTCTAATGATATTAATTATATTAATAATAATAAAGCAAGCGATCAATCCTTATTATTAAATACATTTATTTATATTTTTATTAGTCTATATACGTACAAATTATAATTTTATTCTTCCGATTTAGTAATTTATTATTAGGCTAATATGTTCAAAGTTTACCAAAAAATGCTGTCGCTATACTATTATTAAAATCTTTGCTCCTGCTATTCTATCATACAATTATTCGTAAATTATCATAGTAATTTAATTAACTTTATAAATTTGTATTACTTCTAAGCTAATCTAAATATATTAACGTGATGAAATGATTAACTTTGATCATTCCAAATTCAGAAATTCTCTACTTTTATTTAGTTTTTCATCAATATTCCGAACTTCTAACTTTATTAGCAAATAAATTCAAAGCCTACCAGGACAATGCGATAATATATTTAAAATCTCAATTACCACTATCATAAAGTACGATCATATGTTTATAATTATCATCATCTTCCAAGCACTAACCTAAATATACATATTATTTAAAGCATACCAGCACAGTGCGATGAAATAATTATATACCATCTCAATTGTTATTAAAAGATCTTAAAATATTATTATCATCCTACTCTTAAAAGTTTATGAAATTATTTTAAACCCAAGCCTGCCCTACTTAAGTAATTTATATTCAAAGCCAATAATAACCTCAAAATTAAATAATTAAATACAATTATGATTATCCCTAAATGATTGCAATATATGATTATTGCTTACTCTAATTAAAGTGTATAAATCATCTTAAATTCAGACATATCAACACATATCTGAAATATGCAGAGCCACCGCGACAACAATAACATCTTTGATCTGTTAGAGTTTGATAATCGGCTTATAATCAATGCTGAAAATATAAATTTACCCTGCGTTTTTACTCCTTATTTAAAATTTTTTCTATCTTCTAAATTCCTAATTATTTAACAATTTTACTTATATTTTTTCTACCCTTCAATTTCAATTTT